ACTACTATTTCGATCTACTGCCCGAGTCGCGCCCCTAGGAGAAACGCGAAATTCGAAACCGTGCTCTAGGCGAGACGGTTCCTTTTTTCTGCCCTAGATGCGATTTTCCTTCCTAGTCACGTGCGAGCCCCCCTGACCGTGCCCTAGCTGCCAGTACAGCCCGCGTAGGCTCGTCGCGAAGCCCGTACAGCCCGCGTAGGCCCGTCGCGAAGCTCGTACAGCCTGCGTAGGCCCGTCGCGAAGCCCGTACAGCCCGCACTAGGCCGTCGCGCAGCCCGTACAGCCCACGTCAGGCCCGCACCCAGCTGGTAAAGCCCGCGCCATGCCCACACGCAACCCTTAGAGCCCGCGCCTGGCCCGCACGCGGCCCGTGTTCCTGCTGCACTTGCTGCTGCTGCTACTTGCTGCAGCTGCTCCTCCTTGCTACTGCTACTACAGCTAGCGCTACTCACTGCTGCTGCTACTGACGCTACTCCTGTTATAGCTAGCGCTACTCACTGCTGCTGCTACTGAAGCTAGTGCTGCTACAGCTAGTGCTACTGCTGCTGCTGCTGCTACTACGGCCCTTGCTACAGATGCTACTGACTGAAGCTACGGCTACTCCAGCTAGTGCTACTGCTGCAGCTCCTACTCCAGCACTTGCTACAGCTAGTGCTACTGCTGCAGCTCCCACTCCAGCACTTGCTACAGGTACTATTGACTGAAGCTACTCAAGCTACAGCTAGTGCTACTGCTCCAGCTCCTACTCCAGCACTTACTGCAGCTGCTCTTGACTGAAGCTACTGCTGCTACAGCTAGTACTACTGCTGCAGCTCCTACTACTTCACTTGCTACAGCTAGTGCTACTGCTGCAGCTCGTACTCCAGCACTTGCTACAGCTGCTCCTGACTGAAACTACTGCTGCTTGACTGAAGCTACTACTGCTACAGCTAGTACTACTGCTGCAGCTCCTACTACTTCACTTGCTTCAGCTAGTGCTACTGCTGCAGCTCCTACTACTGCACTTGCTACAGCTAGTGCTACTGCTGCTCTGCCACTGTGTCCGAGCCGCGCCGCCCAGCCAGAGCTGTCACTGCTGCTGCTACTGCAACTACTACTGCTACAGCTAGTGCTACTCGGTCTACTAGTGCTGCTCGGTCTGCTGCTGCTGCTCGAGCCGCCCTGCTACTGCTGCTACTGGAGGGAGTACTGCTGGGAGTGGTGGAGGTGCGGCCTCCCACCCCCACCGAACCGCCCTGCTGCTGTTACTACTGCTGCTGCTGCTGCTACTTGTGCTACTGGAAGTAGAGGAGGTGCTGCTGGGAGTGTAGGAGGTGCTGCTGGCGCTGTAGGAGCTGGAGGTGCTGGACCTACTCCTGACAGTCACTGTCTGTGAGTCTGCTGCCACTCCAGGTGCTAGTGAGTCTGCTGCAGCTCTAGGTGCCCGTGAGTCTACCGACGCTCTAGTTGCTAGTGCGTCTACTACCACTAGTCCTGCCTCAACTGAGGTCTTGCACACTTTCACGCTTGACTCCGGCGCGTCACGTTGCTTCTTCCGTGATTGCACCACATTCACACCACTCACAACACCTGTCCCAGTCTCACTGGCTGACCCCTCTGGGGGCCCAGTGGTTGCGAGAGCCTCCACGGTCCTCCCTTGTCCAGCAGTCCCCTCCGGCTCTTTGTCCGGTCTCCACCTCCCCACGTTCTTGACGAACTTGGTGAGCAACGCTGCCATTCAGGATGTTTGGGTTGATACCTTTATTCCTGGAGGGCAGCGAGTGGCGGTCTGTACGTGCTCCCGGACTGGCCATCACCTGGCTACGTTCACTCGATAGCTTGGGTCCAGGCTGTACACATTGACCACTGCGTCTGCACAGGTGGCTGAGTCAGGTCAGGTAGCTACGTCGAGTCGAGCGTCTGCGTCAGGTGAGTTAGCTGAGCGTCTGCGTCAGGGCAGTTAGCTCGTGCCGAGTACTCACGCACGAGACTCAGCTGGCACCACCGTCTTGGTCACCCCTCCCACAGCGTGTGCGCCACATGCACTCCTGGCTCCTGGTCACTGGCCTCCCTGAGACCCTGCCCCCCCTCCCGCGCTCACTTGCGCCGCCGTGCCTTCCTTGCGTCGAGGGGCGGCAGCGCGCCGCTCCTCACTCCTCCGAGTTTCCTCTGACCACTGCTCCTCTGCAGACTCTCCACATGGACGTGTGGAGCCCGGCCCCCGTCGGTGGAACGGACCAGGAGCGCTACTTCCTGCTAGTGGTTGACGACTACACACGCTACACCACAGTCTTCCCCTTGTGGCGCAAGGTGGATGTCAGTGGTGTCTTGATCCCCTGGATCCGTGCTACTCGTCACCAACTGCGCGAGCGGTTTCAGCGGGACTTTGCAGTCCCGCGTCTGCACTCTGACAGGGTTGGTGAGTTATCCTCTGGCGTCCTTGAGACGTTCTGCGAGGATGAGGGCATCGCCCAGTCGTTCATGCTTCCAGCCTCTCCGCAGCAAAATGGGATCGCTGAGCGTCGCATTGGCCTGATCATGGAGGTTGCTCGTACCTCTATGATCCATGCGGCTGCTCCCCATTTCCTGTGGCCGTTTGCGGTCCGATACGCCACGCATCAGCTCAACCTCTGGCCCCATGTCTCTGCTCCAGAGACCTTGCCCACACTCCGTTGGATGGGACAGCCTGGTGATGCGTCGTCGTTTCGGGTCTGGGGCGCGCTCTCCCTTGTTCGCGATACCAAAGCGAGCAAGCTCTCCCCTCGCACTCTCCGCTGTGTCTTCCTGGGTTTCCCCACCGACGCTCCACCCTGGCAGTTCTACCACCCTGCCTTGCGTCCTGTTCTGTCCTCTCAGGATGTCACCTTCGACGAGTCGGTCTGTTACTACCGACTTCACCCGCACGCGTCCCACCCGGTCCCTCTCGCACCTCTCTTCCTGGTACCGGTCCCCCCCCGGTAGACCCCCTTTTCCCCCACAGGGTCCTGCTCCCTCAGGTGTGTCCCAGGTTGACCCACCCCCCTTGGATGAGCCAGTTGAGATCTCTTCTGACTCCTCTGACTCACCTGAGGGGAGTGACGCCGTCGCCGAGGACACGGCAACCACTCGCCGCACTCCTCGCTTGGAGACCCCCCCCGGGTTTCCCGCCACGGCCGTCTTCGCCGCCTCCGCAGCCTGCTGCTGTGGACTCTGGAGCTGAGACTATTGGAGCTGGGGCTGGGGATGGTGAGTCCGGGGGTGCCCACTCTCCTCGTCTGGCTACACCCCCCAGGTTCCCACCTCTGCTGTCTTCGCCGCCTCTGCAGCCTGCTGCTGTGGACACTGGAGCAGAGACTGAGGGTACTGAGCCTGGGGGTGCTGCGACTGAGGGTACTGAGCCTGCGAGTGCTGAGACCAAGGGTCCTGCCTCTGGGGGTGCTGCGAGTTCGGGTGCTGACTCTGAGGGTGCTGCGAGTCCTTCTGGTGTTGGTGTCGTCGGAGCTCCTACTGGAGGACCTGGAGCTACTGGTGCTGGAGGTACTGGAGGTATTGCTGGTGCTGGAGGTTCTGGAGGTGCTGCTGGTGCTGGAGGTCCTGGAGGTGCTGGAGGTACTGGAGGTGCTGCTGGTGCTGGAGGTCGGGGAGCTGAAGGTGCTGCTAGTCCTGGTGGAGCTGCTGGTGCTGGAGGTACTGGAGGTGCTGCTGGTGCTGGAGGTCGTGGAGCTGCTGGTGCTGGAGGTACTGGAGGTACTGCTGGTGCTGGAGGTCATGGAGCTGCTGGAGCTGCTGGTGCTGGAGGAGCTGGAGCAGCTGGGGCTGGAAGTGCTGGAGGTGCTGGAAGTCCTGGTGGAGCTACTGGTGCTCTTCGCCACCTTCTCATTCTTCAGCCAGGTGCTACAGGTTTCCCTGTGGCAGGTACTACTCCTCCGTTGCTGTGTCCACCGGCGGACCAGTCACAGCCGCCGCTGCTACCACACTCCCCACTGCCTGCTCCTACTCCTTACACTATGGTGTCAGAGTCCCTGACTGAGCGTCGAGAGCCTGAGACTCGTGCTTCCACCCCTGAGCGTCGAGAGCCCGAGTCTAGCTTTGACCTTGAGCCTGAGCCTAGAGCTGCTGTCCGTGCTCGTGTTCCTCGTGTTCGTCGTCAACGTGCCCCGGCTGTCCCCGGCACTCACGATATGACACTCCGTCCTTCCTCTGTTCCTCAGGGTGTTGTCCTACCGTTACCTCCTGCGTCCTCTTTGCCTGACGTTGCTGACCCTCCGTCTGACCTTGCTCGTGCGTCCAGTCCGACTGTTACTCGCCTTCTTGCTACGGTTGTGACGGACCCTACGTTCTCGTCTTATGCTGCGTCTGCCCTAGTAGCTGAGCTCGTTGACTTTGCTGCTGTGTACCGCCTCCACTACCTTGCGAGTCTTGTCTCTGACCCTGTCCCTGCCTGTCCTGCGTCTCTAACACTTTGCCCTCACATACTAGCACAAGGTGGTTCACAACTCTTCATAAGAAAAACGCTTCCGTTACTACATCAGTTCTACCCAGAGTTCACCCTTGCAAAGATCCTAAGGGCTATTATTCTCAGCCCAACAGTTACACATTCAATGCAAGGCCGAGATTGCCTTCGCCACATTTTTCGAATACTCTGCCCGACGTTCGTAATTAAGGCTGGGGTAAGAAGTTACAGGTCTTTCCTTTTTATGTATACCATACACAAAATATCAATACATTTGCGTGGTAGCCATAGTTATAGTCGACAATGACAAGAAGAACTGCAGGTCCCAAGATTCAGACTAAACCACAGTTGCCACTCTGTTCTGCTCCGCGGGGCAGCTCGGCTCATCTTTTCCTCATGGTGAGCAGGCAATAGATCTCAGATTTGCGAAGTGACCACTCGTGGTTCTGGAGGGCACACACACAATCAGACAGCAGCATACCACAGTCAGTGGATCACTCAATAACGAGTATACAGGAACAAGCTCATTGGCGGGTGGAGTTGAGAGCACAGGAGAAGGTGCAGAGGCAGAAGCGAAGGCAAGAAGTGCTCACTCAAAGGTGGTGAGACCATTGGCGGCCTTGTACGTGCCGCTGGACCAGCCAGAGCAGTCAGTGTCATTATTGAACCACATCAGCCCGCACACCTGCCGCCCTCCAGCCGCACCGTCAGGCACGTCCCAGAGAATCTTGATTGACCCCACCGCCCCTGCAAAGGCTGCGGGGATGTTGACGCAGCCCGCGCCGGGCGTTGGGGATCGGAGCACGGCGGGCGCGAGGGAGGCGGGTGAGTTGGTAAAGTTGGGCGCGTTGTAAACCACCAGGCTGGTTGTCACTGTGGCAGGGGCCGCTGTTGGGGGGCGTAGAGCGGAGAGAGTGAGGGAGAAACGGACAGAGAAAAAATGGAGAGAGGGAGAGAGGGAGAAACGGACAGAGGAAATGGGAGGGTGAGAGAGGGCACGAGAGGATGTGATTGGGACGGTGCGTGTGCTGATGGCGAGAAGCTATAGAGGGATGTGCTTGTAACGAGTACCTTGAATGCAGGTGGCGTTGACAAGGGAGTAGGAGGCAGGGCAGGCACAGAAGGGGATGTTGTTGCTGGTGGCCTTGCAGCGAGACGTGGAGGGGCATTCTATCCCCACACATACCGGCACTGCAGAGGGGTGACGAGGGGTGAGGAGAGGTGGGGACGGGTGAGTAGGGGGTCTAGGAGGATGGGGATAGAACGAGGGTATACAATGAGTGAGGATGGGTGAAGGAGGGGGACGCACAAAGAAGCAGGAAGCAGCAGCAGTAGATTGTGGGCGGGACAGCACACTCACCCAGGCACATGTTGGGGGCAACGAGCAGCGTCCCCTTGGGGCAGACGCACTGTGCCTTGCCTGTGCTGCCGTCACACACCAGGTCGCCCGCTGGACAGCTCACCCCCATGCACGGGTCTGGGCGAGGGCGGGGGGTGTGGGGGGTGGGGAGAGGAAGAGTGGGAAAAAAGGGAAGGAGGGGAGGCAGGCGATGAGAGGGTAGATGGTGAGGGAGTGATGGTGGGACGGGAGATGGAGAGACATCGGGACGAGGAGGAGGCATGCGATGGGCGGTGCACGGGAGGTGCATGATATGTTGGGGGCAGGTGCGCACCTGGAAGGCACTGCGAGCTGTTGACGAGCGCCTGACCCACTCCACACACGCACACGGGCTTGCCGTCCACTGCTGAGCACGTGGAGGTGGATGGACACTGCACTCTGAAGCACGGGTCTTGCACTGCCAGGGAGGTGACGGTGGGGGTTGGGTGGAAAAGGGAGGTGTGGAATGCGGTGTGCTGAGAGAGGTGCAGGTTGGAAGGGCAAGGGCGTAGAGTACAGGCCATGGGCCATTAGTACAGCACAGCACCGAACTGCACCGCACTACACAGCACAGCAGAGCGACTTGGTTCACACGGGTTCTAAGTTGGGAAACAGGCGCTGAAAGGTTACTCTTGTTCATGCTGACAGCGGTGCACAATGGTGTACCCACCGTAGGGCATCTGGTGACCAGATGAAAGGTGGGAGCTCAGATGATGCCACCGAGGCAAGGCATGTGAATAGGCATGGGGATGGGGCAAGGCGTGTGTGAAGGTGAAAATGGATTGAGCGTTGAGGGGCTTGAGGGGCTTGAGGAGCAGGAAGCTCACCATAGGGTAGTTGACCGCCGTAGTTGCCTGGCGGGTAGTAATGGCACGCCCACACGTCCCCACTCGTGCCGCACGATGCCTTGCCACACCCCACCGAGAGCGTGTCGTTCCAAATGACCTGCGTGTAGTGCCCACACTTTTCCCACTGGCCGCCCGCACAGCCATCAGGGAAAACGGCCACGGAGTACCACTGCCCCTCGTTCACCCACAGCTGCGCTGCTGCTCCATTCGTCAGCTGCCCCGAGGGACTGCCTCCTGCGAGGTTCTGCCCCTCTCCGTCATGCCCGCCGTGCACGAGGGAGCAGTTGTAAGAGGAGTTGGTCAGCGCTGTCGCCCATGCCTGCGCGTGCGTCGCCACTGGGGGGAAAAGGGGAGAGACAAGGGGAATAGAGGAGTGGCGAGGCGAGGAAAGGAGAGGAGAGGAGAGGCGAGGTGAGGAGAGGCAAGGAGAGGCAAGGAGAAGCGCAGAGAGGCGCGGCGAGGCGAGGGCATGGGATGAGATGCATGGTGGTGGGCGAGCGTGATGAGATGACACATACACCTCCTGCTCCCTGAGAGGCAGTGGCACAAGCGACAGTGGCACAAGCGACAGTGGCACAAGCGACAGTGGCACAAGCGACAGTGGCACAAGCGACGGTGGCACAAGCGACGGTGGCACAAGCGACGGTGGCACAAGCGACGGTGGCACAAGCGACGGTGGCACAAGCGACGGTGGCACAAGCGACGGTGGCACAAGCGACGGTGGCACAAGCGACGGTGGCACAAGCGACGGTGGCACAAGCGACGGTGGCACAAGCGACGGTGGCACAAGCGACAGTGGCACAAGCAACAGTGGCACGAGCGACAGTGGCACGAGCGACAGTGGCACGAGCGACAGTGGCACAAGCGACGATGGCACAAGCGACATTGGCACAAGCGACGGTGGCACAAGCGACAGTGGCACAAGCGACAGTGGCACAAGCGACAGTGGCACAAGCGACAGTGGCACAAGTGACAGTGGCACAAGCGACCGTGACACAAGCGACAGTGGCACAAGCGACAGTGGCACAAGCGACAGTGGCACAAGCGACAGTGGCACAAGCGACAGTGGCACAAGCGACAGTGGCACAAGCGACAGTGGCACAAGCGACGGTGGCACAAGCGACGGTGGCACAAGCGACGGTGGCACAAGCGACATTGGCACAAGCGACAGTGGCACAAGCGACATTGGCACAAGCGACAGTGGCACAAGCGACAGTGGCACAAGCGACAGTGGCACAAGCGACTGTGGCACAAGCGACAGTGGCACAAACGACCGTGGCACAAGCGACAGTGGCACAAGCGACAGTGGCACAAGCGACAGTGGCACGAGTGGAAAGCACAACCGTCGTGCGCGCACCCATGCATGCAGCCATGCATACACCCATGCATCACCCATAGATCATACATGCATCACCCATGCATGCACCCATGCATCACTCTCCTCTCACTAGCACTCAAATGCGTCATCCCACACAAACGGCGGAAGCACAAGTGCTAGTCACACCATTTGTGAATGCACTCATGCGTCTCTCTCCCTCACAACTCACATGTGCCGTCCCACACTAATATGCATGCATGCATGCATCACTCTCCTCTCAACGGCACTTGCATGCACCACCCACACTCACATGAGTCATCCCACACGAGAGGCACGCCCCCCACAGCAGCGCGGGCGTTGTTGTGCATATCAAGGTAGTCGGAGTGAGGGAGGTCGGCCGAGGAGCACTTTCCGTCGATCAGGCGCGCGTAGGGCGCGGGGCACTTGCACACGGGCGTACCGCTCTGCTCCACACACGTGGCCACGTCGGGACACTTGACTCCGTAGCACGGGTCTGAGTGGAGGGGAGAGAGGGTGGGTGGAGGGTGGGGTACGGGAGGAGATGTGTGGAAGAGGGGCGAGGAAGGGGGGGACGAGGAAGGAAACTGGCAGGACTAGACTCGTGTACACAAGTTAGCACCAGTAAGCATGTAGTGAGCACAGCAATGTGGAACATTTGACTGAACCTTAATCACCTGGGCAGGCGCACTTGGCGATGCCAGCAGAAGAGGAGCAGGTGCAGTTGGTGGGGCAGGTGACGATTGTACACATGTCCACCTCTGGTGGGAGGGGAAGTGGGAGAGAAGGTGTGGTGGGAATGGGTGGCAGGTGGAAGCTAGGTTGGGAAGGGTGGGGGGAGGAGGGAGTGAAGGAAGAGTGAAGGTACAGGTGCGTATGACGGAAGAGACGAGGCAAAGGAAGGGCGAATGAGGATGAACAGAATACGGATGGTGTTCCCCCTCGCACCCCGCCCCGTGTACGTAGTTACATGTGGCATCAGTGCCCTCCTCCACACACACGGAGTTGGTCAGACATGCCGGTGCACACACCCCACTGCCACCGCCCCAGCTGCCCGTGCTGCCTCAACTACCACTGCTGCCACTCTCACCTGTGCTGCCAGTGCTGTTAGTGCCGCCCGTGCTGCCGGTGCTGCCGGTACTGCCCGTGCCGCCCGTGCTGCTGGTGCCGTCCGTGCTGCCCGTGCCGCCTGTGCCGCCCGTGCTGCCAGTGCCGCCCGTGCTGTCGGTGCTGCCGGTGCCGCCTGTGCTGCCCGTACTGCCGGTGCTGCCGGTACTGCCTGTGCCGCCCGTGCTGCCGGTGCCGTCCGTGGTGCCCGTGCTGCCCGTGCCGCCCGTGCTGCCAGTGCCGCCCGTGCTGTCGGTGCTGCCGGTGCCGCCTGTGCCGCCCGTGCTGCCGGTGCCGCCCGTGCTGCCGGTGCCGCCCGTGCTGCCTGTGCCGCCCGTACTGCAGGTGCCGCCCGTGCCGTATGTGCTGTCTGTGCTGCCGGAGCAGGCGATGGATCTCACTGCGACAAAGTTACCACTCGTGGTCCTGCAGAGCACAACACAACCACAAGCAGACAGCAGCAAACGGCAGTCAGTGGATCACTGAATAAAGGGTATACAACGGCAAGCTCGAGGGGCGGTGGAGAGGCAAGCATAGGGGAGGGGAGGCTGCAAAGGCAGAAGCGCAGGCAGTAGGTACTGACGCAAAGGTTGTGACTCACGCAAAGGTTGTGACTCCGCTGTCGGGTTTCCACCAGCCGCTGGACCAGCCAGCGCAGTCGGTGCCGTTGTTGAACCACATCAGCTTGCACACCTGCCTCACCCCCGCCGCCCCGTCCGGCACGTCCCACACGATTTTGATCGATCCCGCCGCCCCTGCGAAGCCTGCCGGCACGTTCACGCAGCCCACGTCGGGCGTGGTGGCTCGGAACACGACAGGCGCGAGGGAGACGGGTGAGTTGGTGAAGTTGGGCGCGTTGTAAACCACCAGGCTGGTTGTCACTGTGGCAGGGGCCGCTGTGGGACGAGGAGAGAGGGAGGGAGAAAGGAGAGGGAGGGAGGCATGGAAAGAGGGAGAGAGGAAGGGAGGGAGGGAAGGAGAGCGGGAGGGAGGGAGGGCGGGAGGGAGCGAGGGAGAAACGGACAAAAGGGAAAAGGGAGGGAGGGAGGAAGAGAGGGAGAAACGGCCATAGTTAGAAAATGGGAGGGAGGGAGAGATCACGGACGAGAGTGTCGAAGGTGAGTGCAAAAAATAACAGCGCTCGGTGAGAGGAGGTCAGCAGGGCTTACAGTGCTTGTTAGCCATGAATCGGGACAGTGCGTGTGTGTGAGCTGATGGTAAGAAGCTATAGAGGATTTGCTAAAAACGAGTACCTTGAGTGCAGGTTCCGTTGACGAGGGAGGAGCAATCAGGGCAAGCACAGAAGGGGATGTCATCTTTGGTGGCTCTGCAGCGAGATGTGGAGGGGCACTGCACCCCCACACATACCGGCGCTGCAGAGGGGTGACAAGGGGTGAGAAGGAGGGAGAAAGGTTGTGGAGGGGTGCAGTGGGTTGTGGACAGGTGACGAGGGCTGACAAGCGGTGATAGCGAGTGAGGAGAAGGGTGAGGAGGGGTGAGGAGGGGTGAGGAGGGGTGAGGAAGGGTGAGGATGGAGCACAAGGGTTTGATGGTGAAGGTGATGAAGCAGGGGTGGGAGTACACTCACCGAGGCACATGTTGGGGGCAACGAGCAGCGTCCCCTTGGGGCAGACGCACTGCGCCGTGCCGGTGCTGGTGTCACACACCAGGTCGCCCGCCGGACAGCTCACCCCTATGCACGGGTCTGGGCGAGGGCGGGGGTGTTGGGGGTGGGGGGAGGAAGAGAGGAAAAAAGGGGAAGAAGGGGAGGCACGCGATGAGAGGGTAGGTGGTGAGGGAGTGAAGGCGGGACGGGAGATGGAGAAACATCGAGAGGAGGAGGTGGAGACATGTGATGGGAGGTGCATGGGCGGTGCATGGGAGGTGCATGGGAGGTGCATGGGAGGGGCAGATAGAAGAAGAAGGGGTGCCGGGGGCAGGTGCGCACCTGGAAGGCACTGCGAGCTGTTGACGAGCGCCTGGCCCACTCCACACACGCACACGGGCTTGCCGTCCACTGCTGAGCACGTGGAGGTGGACGGACACTGCACTCTGAAGCACGGGTCTTGCACTGCCGGGGGAGGTCATGGTGATGGCGAGGGGGGGTGGAGAAGGGAGGGGACGGAAGGAGAAAGATAGAGTGAAGCGTGTGAAGGGTGAAGGAGTAGAGTACAGACGGCTGCTGGGCCGAAATTACAGCACCACACAGCACCGCAAAGCACTGCTGAGCAGCTCGGTTGCAAGGATGGGCTGGAAAAACAGAGGATTGAAGCATCACAGCACAACGGCGCAGTCACCAGCAGCACAGGGCAGCCGAAGCTAACCAAAAAAGGCACAGAAGGAGGCATGGGGAGGGGATGGGGCAAGGGATGGAGCGTTGAGGGGTTTGAGGGGCATGAGGGGCGTGAGGGGCGTGAGGAGCAGGGTGGTTACCATAAGGCGGCAGGCCGCGGACGTTCCCCGGCGGGTAGTAATGGCACGCCCACACGTCTGACCCCGTGCCACACGACGCCTTGGCACACCCCAGCGTGCGCGTGTCGTTCCAAATGACCTGCGTGTAGTGCCCACACTTGGCCCAGTTGCCGCCCGCACAGCCGTTGGGGTGGACATCCACCGTGTACCACTGCCCCTCGTTCACCCACCATCCCGACGCATCTGAGCCATTCTTGACCCCCGCCGGGCTGGCGCCGGCGAGGTTCTGCCCCTCGCCGTCATGCCCGCCGTGCACGATGCTGCAGTTGTAGGACGCGTTGGTCAGCGCTGTCGCCCATGCCTGCGCGTGCGCCGCCACTGGGGGGACAGGCAGAGGGGGGAACGAGAGGAGAGGTGAGGAGCAGGAGAGGAGGGGCGATGCATGGTGGTGGTGGAATGAGATGGGCATGGCATGTGCATTGCCTGTCCCGGCGAGAGGCAGTCGCACGAGAGGAAAGCGCAACCATGCATGCATGCATACATCGCTCTGCTGTCCCTCCTACACAGCCAGCACAGGGGGCATCAAGCATGGGGAGGCAGGCTGACGATGGGATGGAAGAAAGAAGCTCACTCACTCTCACTCACATGTGTCGTCCCACACGAGAGGCACGGCCCCCACCGCAGCGCGGGCGTTGTTGTGAATGTCGAGGTATTCAGAGTGGGCCAGGTTGGCCGAGGAGCACACGTTGTCAATGAGACGTGCGAATGGTGCGGGACACTGGCACACCGCTGTACCGCCCTTCACCACACACGTGGCCACGTCCGGACACTTGACCCCGTAGCATGCGTCTGAAAAAGGGGGGGGTGCAGGGGAGGGATACGGAGGAAGGGGTGTGAAAGAGCACTTGGCACTGTTGCTACTTCCTGAGCAGGAGAACTGAACTGGCACTGTAGAAATCACCTGGGCAGGAACTCTCGCCTCTGTTGCAATCACATGACCAGGAACTCTCGCCTCTGTTGCAATCACATGACCAGGAACTCTCGCCTCTGTTGCAATCACATGACCAGGAACTCTCGTCTCTGTTGCAATCACATGAGCAGGAACTCTCGCCTTTGTTGCAATCACATGAGCAGGAACATTCGACTCTGTTGCAATCACCTGAGCAGGAACACTCGGCTCTGTAGCAATCACCTGGCCAGGAGCAGTTGGCACTGTTGCAATCACCTGGGCAGGAGCACTTGGCAATGCCGGCAGAAGAGGAGCAGTTGCAGTTGGTGGGGCAGGTGACAATCTTACACATGTCCACCACTGGTGTGGAGGGGGATCAATGGGCAAAGGGGGGTTGGGGAAACGGGTGGCGGGAGAGGGAGTGAAAGGAGCAGGAAGGCAGGGGTGAATGGATGATGGGAGACAAAAAGAGACGAGCAATGGGGCGAATGAGAACAAGAGAATGACCTGTGAAAGAGCAGGGGCAGGGGTGTGAGGAGAAGGGGTGTGAGGAGAAGGGGTGTGAGGAGAAGGGGTGTGAGGAGAAGGGGTGTGAAAGAGCACTTGGCACTGTTGCTACTGCCTGAGCAGGAGAACTGGCACTGTAGCAATCACCTGAGCAGGAGCACTTAGCGATGTTGCAACTACCTGAGCAGGAACACTCGGCTCTGTTGCAATCACCTGGGCAGGAGCACTTGGGAACGCCAGCGGAAGAGGAGCAGTTGCATTTGGCCGGGCAGGTGACGTTTAAACAGATGTCTCTCGCTGGTGGGGGGCGTGAAGGGGAAGGGGGGGTGGGGAAACGGACGTGGCACAGGTAAATGGATGTCGGGGGAAGAATCGAGACGAGCAAAGGGGCGAATGAATACAAGAGAAGGACCCGTGCTGCTCACCCTCGCACTGCCCGTTGACCTTGGTGTAGCCAACCACGCAGTTACACGTGGCCCCAGTGCCCTCCCCCACACAAACCGAGTTGGCCGGGCACGCCGTCTCACACGCCCCACTGCCACCACCCATGCTGGGCGTGCTACGAAAGTACCTTTGGGGGCGATGGCGGTGAGGCACGACATGGACTGCGCTTTCAGCACCACTCCCGCTGCCACCCTGGTGGACGGGGCACGGTGGACACACGGGCGCGCGGAGGAGAGAAGCAATGGCATGGGTACAGAGGGGGCACAGGGCAATGGCATGGGTACAGAGGGGGCACAGGGCAACAGAAGACGCACAACAGCTGAATGCTGCACACTCACCTTAAGTTGACCTTTGACGCTTTTCAAACCTATTTGAAAATAATAGCTGGAAGGTGTTGGGAGGTGTTGGGAGGGATGACCAAGTGGAATCCCAGGCTGAAACGTCAACGCAATAGTTGGTCACCGAGTGCCGCTGCACGCTCACTCACTTGCTGGTGGCAGCGTAGGTGGTCACTCACTTGCTGGTGGCGGCGTAGGTGGTCACTCACTTGCTGGTGGCGGCGTAGGTGGTCACTCACTTGCTGGTGGCGGCGTAGGTGGTCACTCACTTGCTGGTGGCGGCGTAGGTGGTCACTCACTTGCTGGTGGCGGCGTAGGTGGTCACTCACTTGCTGGTGGCGGCGTAGGTGGTCACTCACTTGCTGGTGGCGGCGTAGGTGGTCACTCACTTGCTGGTGGCGGCGTAGGTGGTCACTCACTTGCTGGTGGCGGCGTAGGTGGTCACTCACTTGCTGGTGGCGGCGTAGGTGGTCACTCACTTGCTGGTGGCGGCGTAGGTGGTCACTCACTTGCTGGTGGCGGCGTAGGTGGTCACTCACTTGCTGGTGGCGGCGTAGGTGGTCACTCACTTGCTGGTGGCGGCGTAGGTGGTCACTCACTTGCTGGTGGCGGCGTAGGTGGTCACTCACTTGCTGGTGGCGGCGTAGGTGGTCACTCACTTGCTGGTGGCGGCGTAGGTGGTCACTCACTTGCTGGTGGCGGCGTAGGTGGTCACTCACTTGCTGGTGGCGGCGTAGGTGGTCACTCACTTGCTGGTGGCAGCGTAGGTGGTCACTCACTTGCTGGTGGCGGCGTAGGTGGTCACTCACTTGCTGGTGGCGGCGTAGGTGGTCACTCACTTGCTGGTGGCGGCGTAGGTGGTCACTCACTTGCTGGTGGCGGCGTAGGTGGTCACTCACTTGCTGGTGGCGGCGTAGGTGGTCACTCACTTGCTGGTGGCGGCGTAGGTGGTCACTCACTTGCTGGTGGCGGCGTAGGTGGTCACTCACTTGCTGGTGGCAGCGTAGGTGGTCACTCACTTGCTGGTGGCGGCGTAGGTGGTCACTCACTTGCTGGTGGCGGCGTAGGTGGTCACTCACTTGCTGGTGGCGGCGTAGGTGGTCACTCACTTGCTGGTGGCGGCGTAGGTGGTCACTCACTTGCTGGTGGCGGCGTAGGTGGTCACTCACTTGCTGGTGGCGGCGTAGGTGGTCACTCACTTGCTGGTGGCGGCGTAGGTGGTCACTCACTTGCTGGTGGCGGCGTAGGTGGTCACTCACTTGCTGGTGGCGGCGTAGGTGGTCACTCACTTGCTGGTGGCGGCGTAGGTGGTCACTCACTTGCTGGTGGCGGCGTAGGTGGTCACTCACTTGCTGGTGGCGGCGTAGGTGGTCACTCACTTGCTGGTGGCGGCGTAGGTGGTCACTCACTTGCTGGTGGGGGCGTAGGTGGTCACTCACTTGCTGGTGGCGGCGTAGGTGGTCACTCACTTGCTGGTGGCGGCGTAGGTGGTCACTCACTTGCTGGTGGCGGCGTAGGTGGTCACTCACTTGCTGGTGGCGGCGTAGGTGGTCACTCACTTGCTGGTGGCGGCGTAGGTGGTCACTCACTTGCTGGTGGCGGCGTAGGTGGTCACTCACTTGCTGGTGGGGGCGTAGGTGGTCACTCACTTGCTGGTGGCGGCGTAGGTGGTCACTCACTTGCTGGTGGCGGCGTAGGTGGTCACTCACTTGCTGGTGGCGGCGTAGGTGGTCACTCACTTGCTGGTGGCGGCGTAGGTGGTCACTCACTTGCTGGTGGCGGCGTAGGTGGTCACTCACTTGCTGGTGGCGGCGTAGGTGGTCACTCACTTGCTGGTGGCGGCGTAGGTGGTCACTCACTTGCTGGTGGCGGCGTAGGTGGTCACTCACTTGCTGGTGGGGGCGTAGGTGGTCACTCACTTGCTGGTGGCGGCGTAGGTGGTCACTCACTTGCTGGTGGCGGCGTAGGTGGTCACTCACTTGCTGGTGGCGGCGTAGGTGGTCACTCACTTGCTGGTGGCGGCGTAGGTGGTCACTCACTTGCTGGTGGCGGCGTAGGTGGTCACTCACTTGCTGGTGGCGGCGTAGGTGGTCACTCACTTGCTGGTGGCGGCGTAGGTGGTCACTCACTTGCTGGTGGGGGCGTAGGTGGTCACTCACTTGCTGGTGGCGGCGTAGGTGGTCACTCACTTGCTGGTGGCGGCGTAGGTGGTCACTCACTTGCTGGTGGCGGCGTAGGTGGTCACTCACTTGCTGGTGGCGGCGTAGGTGGTCACTCACTTGCTGGTGGCGGCGTAGGTGGTCTTGGCCGCATCAGCCTTCTTCCACCCGCCCGGCACCTCAAAGGCCGACGAAGAGCCGCTGCAGTCGCTCTGGTTCCAGAACAGCACCTTCCCGCACATCACGCGGCTCGCGCCGCTGCTGCCGTCCTTCACACTCCACAGGATGCGCAGCGACCCCACAGCACCCGCGCGCGGCGTGGGCAGGTTCACGCAGGTGCGGTTGGGGATGGCGCCGCGCAGCACGGCGGGCGGCGCGGGGGCGTACTTGGCGGTAGCGAATAGCAGCACGCTCGTCACCACCACCTGCCCGTCCACGGCTGGCCGGGGGGAGAGGGGGGGTGGGGGGGGGGAGAGAGGGGGGGGAAAGAGCGGAAGGGCGGAGGGGGGGGAGGGGGGAGTGGAAGGGGAGTGGAGGGGGGTGAAGGGGAAGGGAAGGGGAGGGGAGGGCGGATGCAGGCGACGAAGACAGAATGGGGCAGGGTCAGGCGAGAGCGAGAGAAGCGCCGGAGCGCAAGATCATCTTGGAGCCAGTACCGAAGCGCCTACCCCTACGGGGGCCTGGGTTCCTCCGGGGATCTCCTTAAAGCCCGAAAAAAAAAAAAAAAAAAAAAAAAAAAATCTTGGAGCCAGCATTGGGAGCTGAGCCGTTGATCTCACCCTGGCACACACGAGCCGTTGATCTCACCCTGGCACACACAAGCCATTGATCTCACCCTGGCACACACGAGCCATTGATCTCACCTGGCACACACGCGCCGTTGATCAGCGCGAGGGGAAGTTGCTGCCGTCCACGGCGCACGCCGCGTCCTGCGGGCACGACACGTTCATGCACGCCACGACGGCTGTGGCGACCCCGGGTGGGCGCGGACAGGCGGACGGAAGGGCGGAGCGGGGAGAGGAGGGGGATGAGCGCGGATGGGATGAGAGCGGAATGACTCAAGGGATCTCGGAGCGGGAAATTCGCATTCCTTCGGAAACGGGAGAGGAGGGGGGGGGGGGGGGGGACCCCTCGGAGGGGAGGGGGGCGGTGAGGTGGGGGGAGGAGAGGGGGGAGAGGGGGGGGGGTGGGGAGGGGAGGAGGTGGGGGGGGCGGGGGAAGAAGGGGGGTGCAGCGAGTCACTAGTACAGCACACATCTGCGTTCATCCTTTGAAAGCATGATGGGGGGCGGGCGGGGAACACACGGGATCGAACGCGGCGTACGTGCCGTTATCGACGGTGGCTCACCAGGCGGAAGCTTAGGCGGCGCCGGGGGCTTCTTCGCTAACAGCTTTATAAGCCGCCGATGGAACGGACCGTGCGACACCGTCGCAGGACCCTCTAGTAACCATCGCATGTGCGACCTAATTGCGACAATCGCGTCGCCGAATGTTGAGCGACGGTCGATGGCGAGAGTGGCCGACGCGGGGTGTTCGGAGAGGAGGGCGGAATGAAGCAAAAGGGCGAGGAGAAGGGGGAGGAGGAAGGGGAGGCGGGTGGGTGCGAATGGAGTCGTCATGCGCGCGCACAGGGGGAGTGATGGGAGTAGCGCTATTTGCGGGGAGGCGACGTTTGCGGGAAAGCGCAGATGGTGGAGACGCGGGAAAGAAGAAGAAAGGCAAAAGCTTCCTGAATTGGTGAGACCAGAGCAGCTTTGCCATGGTTAAATGCCGCAAGATAACTATGGGAATGAGGCAGGCAGAGGTAGGAGTGGCCTCAGTGGTGTGCCGCGTGTGTTGAGTGAACGGTAGGTAATAGAGGGAGGGGATTTGAAAGAATCTACATTTAGGGTTCCGGATGTGTTTTGAGGAACCCTGCCAGATCCGAGTTGCGACCTAGGTTCACCCTGTCACAGCAGGGTCTCTGGTGTTGTTTTCATATTGTTAACTGGCATGGTCGATTTCTCGGAGACTGTGGCAGTGTGTTAGGTCTTGTGATGAGTTTCTTGATTTCATGGGTCCGATGTCTTGATTCCAGGGAGAATGTGTGGGATCGAAAGAGGTTTGAGACACCAGACGTTAGCATTTGTCGCGCTCGAAACCCGCAAGGCTCCATATCTGCAAATGCAGGGCGATCCAGACTAAGTCTGTGCCAGGGAGTCTCGTCGCTTAAGTCTATTTAATCAGGGTGTTGAATAACCATCTCTAAATCAGGATAAATAGCCCTGACTTCCCTCGGCGATTACTACAATTCGTATGGATTACTGGGATGGATGGATGGAACACGACACCACACACAGGATGGAGGCCCGAGCCGCGAGCCTAGGTTCTGATCCGAACCTCACTTCACTAAAGACAGTCTGTGAAAGGGGCAACCTGCACAGTAATAACAACTGTGTGAAAGGAATCTCGAAATGTCGTTCGTACGATAACTTGTGGAAGAAATATCGACGAACGAGATGACATCACACAGACCACGTAAAGAAAAGACAAGACTTAAGCGTGTCAACAGCAAGAACCGTACACATTCAACATAAACGTTACAGCCATAATTTCAGCCAAATGTTGAAATGGAAATCGGTCCGCTGACGTCACAAGAATCTGAAGATAATCTTCCGGCGGCTCGCCATTTGTGAACGAGGCTACGGGCCACCAATTCATTTCCGATTGTTTCAGGCACTCCACAACACTGCACTTAGTCTACAGCTCCATCAGACCAGGCTTTCGGCACCAGAGATCAGACCTTCCCCTCTCACGATACATCCGCTAAAGGCTGGCGCGTTTGATGCAAACAGACAGACACCATACACCGGCAAACCTTAAGTGACTCAAGCTGTTATATGAACTCGCTACTGACCGTGTGGATACTGCTTAGAGCACTTGTGCTTGTACTGGCCTAGTTTGTCAACATCTAATAAATGTGCTGCACTTTTCCACGCTCGGGAGTGGATAGACCATACCTATTTGACCCCCGGAGAGGCTGAAAACAATCGAAAGGCATGCTACAGTTCAACAAACGCAGATTCAATTGCCCCAAACTCAATTGTTTGTGCTGTATATTCAATAAATTATAAAGCATATGCAAGTATGGATATAAATTACAATAAATGGAAAGAATGAGGTCCACGTCACAAAAATTCTGGATTCTAAGTCCAAGCCTCGAGACTGCTCTGCTTTGGAACCCAGTCACTGCTCTGCTCTGCTCTGCAAGTCAGTGCTGCTCGTCTCTTCCTCAAGCCGAGCAGCTGATGGCTCGCAGTGCTGCCACGTCACCACTAGTTGACCTGCAGAGCACAAGCAGACAGCAGCAAACAGCTATCAGCGAATCACTCTACAAAGGGTATCCAGGGACACGCTCAGGGGATGGTGGAAGGGAAAGCACAGGGGAAGAAGCCGCAGCGGCAGAAGCACATGCAACAGGAACTCACGCAGCAGTTGTGACGTTGTTGCCGGGACGCCCCCACCCGGTGGCGTGGCCATAGCAGTTGGCCCCGTTCCAGAACCACATCAGCTTGCACACCTGCCGCACCCCCGCCGCCCCGTCCGGCACGTCCCAGAGGATCTGCAGCGACCCCACCGCCCCTGCCAGGGATGAAGGGATGTTGACGCAGCCCGCTGCTCCCGAGGCGCCGGGCGTGGCGGCTCGCAGCACGGTGGGAGCGAGGGAGGCGGGCGAGTTGGTGAAGGAAGGCCCGTTGTAGAGAACAACGCTTGATGCCACTGTGGCGGGGGCAGCTGCGGGGCGGATGAGAGGGGAGGGAGGGGAATAGGAGTGTCGGAACAGGTAAGCGCAATAGAGAAATGTTGTGGATGGAGTGGTTGCGCAGGACAAGTGCGGCAGGGCTAACAGGGCTTACAGAAGGGGAGCTATAGTGAATGTGTTAATACTGAGTACCTTGAGTGCAGGTGCCGTTGACGAGGGAGTAGGAGGTGGGGCAGGCACAGAAGGGGATGCCGCCGCTGGTGGCTCTGCAGCGGGCCGTTGAGGGGCACTCCACCCCCACACATGATGGCGCTGCAGAGGGGTGACAGGGAGTGAGGTGCGGCGGGGAAAAGCGAGGAGGGGTGCGGATGGTGAAGGTGAGAAGGCAAGACGAAACAGGAAGCACAGCAGCGAGTGGGCGAGACAGGGTGCAGGCGAGGAGAGAAACTGGTGGCATTGAGGAGGCACAGCACAGCACAGCACAGCACAGCACATCACAGCACAGCACAGCACAGCACAGCACACTTACCCAGGCAGGTGTTGGGGGCGGTGAGCAGCAGCCCCTTGGGGCACACACACTGCGCTGTGCCGGTGCTGCCGTCACACACCAGATCACCCGCTGGGCAGCTCACTCCCTTGCATGGGTCTGGCAGGGGAGAAAAAGGGAGAGAGTGGCATGGCAAGCGGGCACGAGGTCGTGAGGACGGTTGGGAGGGCATAAGGTTGGTGGCGAGGGAGTCAAGGCTTGCTGGGAGACGTAGCGACGGAACTGATGGGGACACAGAAGGTGCATGAGGGAAGCGATGGAGTGATAGTGGTGGCACGTGGTGGGAGGATGTATGGGGTGGGGGCGGGTGTGGGGCGGGACAGCATGCCGGGTGGGAGGAGGGTGTTTGGGTGGGAGGAGGGTGTGGAGGCGGGCGGGGCGGGGGCGGCACCTGGCTGGCACTGGGCGTTGTTGACGAGCACCTGGCCGGCAGCACAGGCGCACACGGGCTTGCCGTCCACTGCTGAGCACGTGGCGGTGGACGGACACTGCACCCTGAAGCACGGGTCTTGCACTGCCGGGGGGGGCAAGGAAAGGGGAGGAAGAGAAAAGGGATCCATGAGAAAGAGGAAGCCATGGGCCATGAGTACAGCACAGCACCGCACTGTACCGCACAGCACCGCACAGCAGAGCACAGCACCGCACCGCACAGCACAGCACAGCGCAATGGGTGGAGTGCTCACCGTAGGGCCGCTGGCCGCCGTAGTTCCCGGGCGGGTAGTAGTGGCACGCCCACACGTCCCCACTCGTGCCGCACGACGCCTTGGCACAGCCCAGCTTCCGCGAGTTGTTCCACACCACCTGCGTGTAGTGCCCGCACTTGCACCAGTTGCCGCCCTCACAGCCGTCGGGGAACACAGCAGCCGTGTACCACTGCCCCTCGTTCACCCACCAGCTGGCCGCCGCTGCATTCGAGGCCCAGCCGGAGGGGCTGGCGCCCGAGAGGTTCTGCCCCTCGCCGCTGTTGCCGCCGTGCGACAGCCCGCAGTTGTACGTGCTGTTGGTCAGCGCTGTCGCCCACGCCAGCGCGTGCGAAGCCACTGCGGGTGAGCAGAGCAAAGCGAGGAAGAGGTAGGCGGGGAGGGGCCATGAGCTTAGAAAAGCACAGTGGTTCTTACATGAATGAACGAGCAGGGTAGACGGCGTTAGTTGAGGTGATTGCAGTCGCCCGAGAAGCAGCACAACCATGCACTCATCGTCCCACACTCACACGCATGCATGCGTCACTCACATGTGTCGTCCCACACTCACACGCATGCATGCGTCACTCACATGTGTCGTCCCACACGAGAGGCACGGCCCCCACAGCAGCGCGGGCGTTGTTGTGAACATCGAGGTAGTCGGAGTTGGGAAGGGCAGCAGAGGAGCACTTTCCGTCGATGAGCCGCGTGTAGGGCGCGGGGCACTTGCACACCGGCGTACCGCTCTGCACCACACACGTGGACACGTCCGGACACTTGACACCGTAGCATCGGTCTGGAGAGCGGAGGGGGGGAGGGGGGGGGGAGGTGGGTGGGATGCCTTTTGAGACGTCTCAAAACACGTCCAGACATTTCACGCTGTACCAACAGTCCGAAGAGCAAAGGGGAACGGGGGGGGGAGGGAGGGCGGTGGGATGTGGAAAGGGGTGCGAAGAACGGGAGGGATGAGGACGGGTGGGACAAGGAAGAGAGGTGGCAGGAGTAATCACCCGGACACTAATAAGCACCTGGGGAAAAGCAGTGCTTTGAAACATCTGGATGAACCATAATCACCTGAGCTGGAGCACCTGGCTCTGTTGCAATCACCTGGGCAGGAGCACTTGGCAATGCCAGCGGAAGAGGAGCAGGTGCAGTTGGCTGGGCAGGAGACGATTGAGCAGATGTCCATCGCTGGTGGCATGGGAGGGAGGGCGACGGGGAGGCAGGGGAGCAGGTGAGGGAGGGAAGGGCGCTGCTATCAGCATCCACACCATGCCCCACCCAACTCAACCATTGCCAACCACTCTACTCCCCAATGCTGCTCACCCTGGCACTGCCCGTTGACCTTGGCGTAGCCAGCCACGCAGTTACATGTCGCGCCAGAGACCTGGGCCACACACACGGAGTTGGCCGGACACACCGTCTCCTTACACGCCCCGCTGCCGCCCGTGCTGCCGCCCGTGCTACCAGTGCTTCCAGTGCTGCCGGAGCTCCCGGTGTTGCCGGTGGGCACGCCTGTGCCGGGCTCCGTGGTGCTAGCAGGGTCGGCAAAGGCCTGGCACGACATGGACTTGGCTCCCGCCACCACTCCACCCGTCACTCTGATGGGACGAGGGAGAGGGACGTGGGCGAAGGAGGCGAGAAGGAGGAGAGCAGGTTACGGTGGTGGCATGAGGCACACGGTGGTGGCATGAGGCACACGGTGGTGGCATGAGGCACACGGTGGTGGCATGAGGCACACGGTGGTGGCATGAGGCACACGGTGGTGGCATGAGGCACACTGGAAGTACAGGGCAGCACGCCAGTGTGGTGTGGAGGCAGCCCAGCCGGAATGCGGCGGGCTCACTGAATGCTGGTGGGCGCGTAGTTGGTCTTGGCGGCACTAGCGGCTTTCCACCCGCCCGGCACCTCCCACCCCGACCCCGAGCAGCAGCAATCCGGCTGGTCCCAGAAGAACACCTTCCCGCACACCACGCGGCTCGCGCCGCTGCTGCCGTCCTTCACGCTCCACAGGATGCGCAGCGACCCGATGGCGCCCGCGTGCGACGCGGGTAGGTTCACGCATGTGCGGTTCGGGATGGCGCCGCGCAGCACGGCGGGCGGCGCGGGGGAGAAATTGGCGGCGGCGAACAGCAGCACGCTTGTTGCCACCACCTGCCCGTCCACGGCTGGCCGTTGGGAAAAGGGGGTGGGGAGGGGCGATGGGGAAGGGGAAGGGGAATGAGGTGGATGCAGGGGAAGAGCGAGAGGTGGTTGTTGAGAGGAATAGGGGAATTTGGGATAGAAGAATCGGGAGCATGAGCCGTTGATCTCACCTGGCACACACGAGCCGTTGATCAGCGCGAGGGTCCCGTCGCACTTGCAGAAGGGAAAGCCGTTGCTGTCCGCGACACACGCCGCGCCTTGCGGGCACTGCACGCCCTCGCACGCCACGGCGGCTGTGGCAGCGAGCGCGGACGGGCGGGCCGAAGGGGAGTGGCGAGCGGAGAGGGAAGAGCGGAGGGGAAAGGGCGGAGGGGAATGAGCTGAGGGGACTGAGAAAAGCGGGATGAGCGGGAAATGGGAAGCGGGGGAAGAGGAGAGAGTCCCGCTCCTTGGGAAACACGCAGCGAAAGGGCAGAAATGCGGGGCGCACGTGCGCTAGCGCAGGGCGCAGTGGCTCACCCGACTGCTTGCCCGCGCCGCCGCTTTTAGGCGGCGGCTTCTTGACGGGCTTCTTGAAAGCGCCGAAAGGGTTCCACAGCCGCCGGTGGAACAGACCGTGCGACACCATTGCGCCCTCTAATCGTCGCCTGTGCGAAGTTCCTGCGACGATTGCGTCGCCAATTATTGTGCGGCCGCCTACGGTGGCGATAGCGGCCGACGCGAGATGGTGGGAGAGGAGGGCGGCATGAAGCAGGAGGGCGACGAGGAGGTGGAATCGGGAGAATGTGAATGGCGTCGTCATGCGCGCGCCGGGGCGCAGTGCGCGGAGTGGCGCAGTCCGCGAGGAGGTGCAGTCACAGGTAAGGCGAACGCGGAGAAGAAAGCAGAAGGTTTTCGTATCGGTGAAAACAGATTCACAATCTGGGAACGAAAGCAGTTAATTTGTCAAGAGAATGACGATAATCAGCCAGAACCTGGAATATGGAGATAATTTAGTGGGAAATATATGTGCTTGTGGTTAGTGGCACCAGAGGTGGGTGTGCTTGAACAAAGGGGGAGGGGAGGGAAGGTTGCCTCTGCTCCGCTCCGCATGCCTGCGCCCAGGCAAATTCCATGGGTGCGGTGCGGTGCGGGCATTGGGATTTGGGAAACAGTGCCGACTCTACAGTGCACAGTTGTATTGGCCATGGGAGCCACCTACCACCCACCAACGACAAAAGAATTGCCCGACGTCAATGTCAGCAGCGGTTTTCGAAGTCAGAAGGGAGTCGCTAGTTACGTCGTTACTGCACGAGGAATTTGTGAAGGATTTGCCGTTTTAATTCGGCCGTCTTGATTGGCCAATCGTTATTGCCAAAACTGGAACTTTCGGTTACTGCAACCCAGACTCACATTTCGCCAGAAATACGGCTTTCGTCTGGTTTATACGCGCTAAAGGGTGTACCTCTCGGTGCACATGCGCTGAATCTAAAGTCGGTTCCTCCTCAACACCATTTGTTACAAATTGTAAGGAAATTCCCTTTTCCTTACTTCGCGTCCCTGCTCAACGCGTACATCACTGTAGCACCTCAGTCAGCACCGTTACCACTCGCGACCATCGCATCATTCATCATCCCGCCCTTTTCGCACATCGCATCCCGACCTCACGGCTCGGCTGGTAACCCGCGCTCCGGGCCTACGCTTCGACACTTTCCCAACCTCAGTCCCAGGCTCGTCGCGCGACAACCACAGTCCATTACCGTTACCACTTTTGCTTCGCTATATAATCCTTCGCTCATGCCTTCGCTCATTTGTACTCCTGCTTCGATAGTGCAATTCTCGTTCGTTCACTCAATTGCACTCCTAACACTTGGTATTCAGAGCCTACGATCTCATCTCGGACCGCATCCACACCTTCGCTTCCCACTATCTCAATTTTTGGGGGGGGTAGACGTCTCTCAGCGATACAGCACCGCCGCTCGTAGTGCTCTCTCGGAAGCACGCACGGCCACGACTGAGGCTCTCGCTGAGCTTGCCCGACACCCCTGCCATGGCTGATTTCACTATCGCCACGCTGACGCAGGAGCAACTCGATCGTCTCGAGCGACAGCTGGAGGAATCAGCGCTCGAAATCGCGACGCTCACGGCGGAACGTGACTCCGCCCGTCAACAGTCAACGGTGAACGCTCCGACAACTTCCCAAGCGCCAACCAATGTTTCTGTCCATTCGGAGGAGCCGATTGTTATCTCATCCGGCACACCAACGCAAAACAACAGCACGGGACAGCGCTCAGGCGCAGCCAGTGACGGCGCAGCCCAACCGATGCCCGGCATGGGAGGGAACAGGAATGCATCAAGCCCACGGGAGCCCCGAGAAGCCCGTCGGCACGTGGAGTTTGCGATGACAAGTGGAGGGAACGCCACGATGGCCCCAATGCCACTCAAGCCGCAACGCCCGCCCTGCTTCGACCCAAGCCAACGCGGTGGCCCGACAGTTCAATCGTGGGTCTTCACGATGAACGTGTTTTTCGACGCCAACTACGTCGAGTCGGACGCCGCCAAGATTCGGTATGCAGTTTCACTACTCAGGGGCCCCGCCATGGACTGGTGGCGAGTCATCGTGACATCGCCACGCGCCTACGAGCCACCGCCGCACGAGGAAGGGCCCTCGGGTCCAGCTGTCACCTGGAGTTCGTTCTGCGAAACAGCCCAATACAGCACGTGGGATGCGTGGTGTGCAGGGCTTCGGGCGCGTTTTGAGCCGATCGCGGCTTCTATTTCGGCGCGTCAGAAACTGCGCACTTGGCGCCAGCTCGGGTCGGTTCAAGACTACACCAGCGGTTTTCTCGCACTTTGCGAACAGGTCGGCTACATGCACGAGGCGGAGCGGGTGGACCGTTACGTCGGCGGACTGAAGCCGGACATATCGCACGAGATAATGCTACGCGGGCTATCGAATTTCAACGAAATCCTCGCGCTCGCCGAGAAAATCGATATCCTACGCCGACCGAGACCGGGGTCCTATCTCGGACATCGTCCTCGGGGACTGATCGAGCACGCCACCGTACATGCCGTCGCAACGAATGCAGCTGCCACGCCATTTAGAGGGCGCTGCTTTGCTTGCAATCGGCCGGGCCATCGCAAGAGCGAATGTCCAGAAGAGCTGAGGCGTCGAGGAGCAGAGCAGGGGAGGGAGTCTCAGAGGCAGGGAAACGCCAGCAGTCAGTAGAAATTGGGCCAACTACTGACGAGACTGCCTGCTCGCCCAACCACACCGACCCTCACCGAGTCACAGTACCGATTCACGCCATCGATCGGGCTCGGATGAATAAGGAGGGTACAGCGACGGATTGCCCAGTACTGATCCACGGGAAAATACAGGGAGCAGCAGTCAAGATTTTCATCGACGGAGGAGCTAGCCACAGTTTAGTTAATACCGCAACCGCACGAAAACTTCAACTGACACTTAGCCGATGCTTACCTGAGATTGATGCGCGCTTAGTCGACGGCACGCCGCTGGCCATACGGGAGAAGGTGGAGAGAGTAAAAGTTCGCTGCGGGGGGAACTTCGGGTTTACACAGGAAATGCTCGCGACGACACTCGATGGGCACGACATTTTATTGGGACGTGATTGGTTGCGACGTTACAATCCGAGAATCGACTGGACGACGGGCAGCTGCACTGTGCGAAGTAGTGGTAACTGGGTCGAACTACCACGCTGGCAGTCGCCTGAGTCATCGACGGCCCACGTCAACGCCATCACAATGAAACGAGCAGTCGCCGCTGGAGCTGACGTGTATGCAGTAGACATCGCAGTGGTAGAAAAAGATGAGCAGCCGAGTGATTTCCAGAAATTGCTGACAGCGGTACCGCCGGAGCTACAAGAGCTATTGAAACGGTACCCGGGAATTTTCTGTCGAAATATGTTTGTCATATTTTATAACTGCTTGTAGTTGTAGTGTAGTTATTGTACTTTGTAGGTGGTGCACCAACTTTGTTTCCTATGCTATATGTTTCTTGAAACCTATAGTGAAACTCATTCTCCAACCTCTCTCTTCCAACTCACTCGATACCTCGCCTAGGGAAACCTACTCGACACCTAAGTTCGGGCCTAGGCTCCTAAGCCTAGGCCCCACCTTTCAACTTAATTCCTTTTACTCTCGACATGGTATCAGAGCTAGGTTCGTCCTGGCCTGTGGGCCCACTTTACACTTCCGCTGCTAAGGTTTTCCGGTCGCGCGCCTAGGGCGCGTGACGATTTTATTTTTACATTGTCCCGCCCACGGGCGAGTGACTCCTTCCCTGCCCGTCGCGCGCCCCGTGGCACGCGACGGTGCCCTTCGTCTGCCCATCGTGCGCCCCGTGGCACAGGATGGTGCCCTACCCGTCGTGCGCCCCGTGGCACTGGCCCGCGACGGGCCTTTCCGCCCCTGCACTCCCTGAAGCCGCCCCTGACACCACTGCACCGACACCTTTTCGCCGCTCTGCGGCTTTCTTCCTTCCCACCCCCCTCCTCCTTTGTCTCCCTGCAGCCGCGGGGAGGAGGGTATGGGGGTGGAGGGTGTTGGAGTGTGGCGTCACCTCTCTCCCTTCCCCTCCTCCTTCTTTCAGTCCCACCGCTGCAGCTGCCGCTGGGGGGAGAAGGTGTGAGGATGTGGGGAAGCAGGGGGAGTGGTACCGGGGTGGCGGGTGTGAGGCAACATGCAGCCGTCCCTCCACCTCTCCTCTCTTCCCCCCCTTCTCTGCTGCTCCTGCAGCAGTGTGGGGGAGGGGAAGGAGGAGGGTGAGGAGATGGAGGGGGTAACTCTTTAATGTTAGCCCGCCTGCATTACCTGCTGTTGCTTGTGATTATTTTGCATGGTGTACCCCCTCAGGGGGCGTAACTACATTTCTACCTACAAGCATTATGGGGGCGTGTCGAAATATGTTTGTCATATTTTATAACTGCTTGTAGTTGTAGTGTAGTTATTGTACTTTGTAGGTGGTGCACCAACTTTGTTTCCTATGCTATATGTTTCTTGAAACCTATAGTGAAACTCATTCTCCAACCTCTCTCTTCCAACTCACTCGATACCTCGCCTAGGGAAACCTACTCGACACCTAAGTTCGGGCCTAGGCTCCTAAGCCTAGGCCCCACCTTTCAACTTAATTCCTTTTACTCTCGACATTTTCCCCGACGACTTACCGGAAGGACTGCCACCTCAGCGGGCGCACGACCATAGGATAGAGTTAGAGCCGGGGGCACAGCCAACTGTACAGCGCCAGTTCAGACTGACACAGCCGGAGCTCGACGAACTGAGGAAGCAGTTAGATTATCTGTTGGCAAAGCAGTTTATCCGACCGAGCTCGTCGCCGTTCGCCGCACCGATACTATTCACACCAAAAAAAGACGGAGGTTTTCGCATGTGCATCGATTACCGAGCGCTCAACAGGGTTACAATAAAGTCACGATACCCCATTCCCCGCGCCGACGAACTGATCGACCAACTGCGAACAGCACGGGTGTTCTCGAAAATAGATCTACGGGGAGGTTACCACCAAATTAGAGTCGAACCATCGGACTGCGCCAAGACAGCTTTTAGAACTAGGTACGGGTCGTTCGAGTACACCGTGATGCCTTTCGGGCTAACCAACGCACCCGCAACATT